AGGACTCCAAAGCCCCACCCCTACTCTGTAGATCATTGACAATCTTGCCTCCTTGCCTTATATGGTTTCCTCACTCTTCACTTGCCCTACTTGGGCCTGATAACACTGCCCAAATACAACTACTATTGCAAACCCTGCTATATCAACCAAAGGGGCCTCCATGGCACCCCCTCCCACCACCATGGCCTGAGAACACTGGCCACTTTCCCAAAGGTCTGTCACTATCATTGGCAATCCTACACTTCCTACTAGTAGAGCCCCTACATTCTGTATGCACCTTACTCATGGTCTGAAGACACCAGCCTGGGTGTTCCTGCTTCTAGCATTGCATTAGCAGGATCTCTGTGCACCAAAGACATCACAACACATATAGGCCCCAAAGACATCTCCCTGAGTTCTGCAACTATCACTGGCTGCTACTTAACCCCTCAACAGAAGGGGTCTCACACATACCCCACCCACAGCCTAAGGTCACCAACACCTGGCGCCTTTTACAGTCAGTGCCCCTTGTATTGCCACTACCATGACTGGTGGAGTGGAGGAGTCTGATCCTGTGGGGTCCGAGGATCTGTTTTGAGTCTTTGACCTTTGAGCATGGCTTTGGTCAGCTCAGCACGTTGGCAAGGCTGCTGCTGTACGCTCCCCACCCCCACCCCCGACCTATGAGCAAAGCTTGGGTTGACTCAGCATGTTGGCAAGGCCGCTTGCTGTATGCTCTGGAGACTGTGGTAGCTTTGCTGGAAGCGACCCCCCTCTGACTCCCTAATATACATAGCTCTCTTGAGTATGTGATAAGATTTCCCAAAAGCGACCCCCCCCCTTTGCCCTGACCACCCATTGTTAATTACAATGCTTCATCCCTGTGATTACAATAGAGGGTGTGTTAAAGTTTTATCTAGGCCGAAATAATCTTCTTGACCTTTGGAAGGCCCTTCAAGATACATTTAACATAAGCTTAAAAATAATCTTTTCATTACATAAAATAGGATTAGGCTGAAACTGGCCCAGGATACCCCTGCCCTCATCAAGTAAAATAAATAAATATATTAGGATTCCTTGAATTAAGTTTAAATCCCTATAAAATTATATAAGTATTATTCTTTATTGAGATCCATAAGAACTAATACTTATACTTGAAATTTTCTTTTTAGCATCGTACTCAGTAATCACAAGGTGGCTGCCACCGAGCATCAGCTGATAATTAACTCTGCTTGCTAGAGGCTATTTCCTAAAACGGCATTCCATGAAATTCCCGAAGACCTGCCTACATCAAACAAACAATTGCTGAACTGTAATAGACCCGCCCTTAATCCAACCCTGAATGGAATCTATGTTCCCTATTGTTAAAACTTTATGAACTGATAATTAGAACACAGAGCCCCTCACCCGTTTACTTGCATGTATCACATTTTCAATAAAAAGGCACGATAATTCCTAGCAGTTGTCAATCTTCAGAGAGCAATCTCTGGGAGTGTCCAACTGAGGACGTGCACGAAAATGGCACCGAGGTCTCAGTCTTTCCTTCCTGTACTGCCTCTGACAAGTCAACCCACCCCTGCCGAGGCTGGACCCCAGCAGTGGAGCCCCAGTACACTGAATACCCATGTTTCAGGATCAGAAGACAACGGTTTCCACCTTTTTCCAAGTAGCCACAAAGTTTTGTCACTGCATTCACAAATGTCAGCAGTTTAGGTTACAAAGACATTCCTAAACACTACTAAGAGAAATTCCAACTGAAGCAAATGTACAAAGACTACACTACTATACTCAACCAGAACCAAAGTCAGGTTACTCTCCCCAGGTAATACTATAGGACATAGTAACTGGAAAAAATTTTCCCCTATAAAAGCTATTACGGAAAACTGGAAGAAGCAATTTTTTCACAACATGAACAAATGACAATCCTGGGACAAAAGAAAAAAGGAAGGAAGGAAGGAAGGAAGGAAAGAAGGGAAGAAGGAAAGAAAGGAAGAAAGAAGGAAGGGAGAAGGGAAAAATGAAAGAAATAGGGAGAGAAAGAAAGAAAGGAAGGAAGGAAGGAAGGAAGGAAAGAAAGGAAGAAAGAAGGAAGGGAGAAGGGAAAAATGAAAGAAATAGGGAGAGAAAGAAAGAAAGGAAGGAAGGAAGGAAGGAAGAAAGAAAGAAAGAAAGAGGAGATGGAAGAAAGGAAATATAAATCTTTCAACAAGAAATAATAGTCCTCCAGCAACAGACTTCAAAAAATGAAAAATCCAAGAAATGCCTGAAAAGAAATTACATTTACAATCAGAGATTAATAAGCAAACTATACAAAGAATTAAAACAACCCAGAAGCAAAAAAAATCTGATTTAAAAATGGTCAATATATCTAAACAGATAATTCATAGAAGAATACACATACATGACCAGCAAGTATATGAATAAACATGGAACATGGCTAATCGTCAGGGAAATGCAAATCAAACCACAATAAGTTATCACTTCACTCTAAGATAGCTGGTATAGAACACATATACATGCACATACACATACACACACAGACACACACACACACACAAAGAACACCAAGTGCTATTGTGAATGGAGGAAAAGAGAATTTTTGTGCACCGTTAACAGGAATGCAAATTAATATAGCCATTATGGAAAAGAGTATGTCAGTTCCTCAAAAAATAACAACTTCTGTGGCCAGCAGGTGGCATAGTGGTTAAGGCTTGACTCCCACTTAGTTAACTGCAGTTTGAGTCCCAGACGTGGTGCTTTGAAACTCACGCCAGTTGTGTGTGTGTGTGTGTGTGTGTGTGTGTGTGTGTGTGTCTGTGCCCAAGATCCCGAGAGGAGAATGGAGGAGAAGGGATTGAGGCATCGTCATTCCCCCCCAGGGGAAGATTTCTCACTTTCTTTCTCTCTGACTTTCTCTGTCTCTCCAGTGAGCTCATGTGCCCTATAGCATAAATCTCTCCAAATAAATAAATAAGAAAATAAAAATAAAAATAAAAACAAACTTCTTTATTATCCAGTAATTTCACTACTGGTTATATATCTAAAAGAAAGAAAATCAGGGTGTCAAAGAGGTAGCTGAACTCCCATGTATATTGCAGAACAATATGCAATATCCAAGATACAGAATCAACTTAAATGTCCATAAAAAATAATTAAGTAAAGAAAAAATGTAGCACATATACACAATGGAATATTACTTACCTATAAAAGGATGAAATCTTGCCATGTGAAGCAACATGGATGAATCTGGAAGAAATTATGCTAAGTAAAAGAAATCAGACACTAAAGACAAATTCTTACTCAACTATGGAAGCTAAAAGGTATCATTGCATAGAAGTAGAGACTGGAATGGTAGATACCAGCCACTGGGAAGGGGATAGGGAGAAAACAACAGGGAGAACTTGGTTAATAGATACGAAATCACAGTTAGATAAGAGAAATGAATTCTAACATACTATACCAGAGAAAAATAACTAAAGCTAATAACAATCTAATGTATGTTTCATAATAGCTAGAAGAGAGGATTTTGAATGTTTATAACATGAAGTAATAATAAATGTTTGATAATATGGATTTTTTTTGCCTTGATTTATTATATATTATATATGCATGTATTAAAAAAATCACACTTTATCCCATAAATATGTACAACTATTGTATGCCAATTAAAATTATAAAATATAAAAGTAACATAGTAATATGGAGAGATTTTTGATGTGTATATATGGAGAGATGAAATATGAAATAATGAAAATAAGATATTTATATATGACAATAAAAAACTAATTAGCTTTAAAAAGGAAATTCTGTCATTTGCAACAACATGTATTAATCTAGAAGACATTATGTTAAGTACACCAAGCACTGAAAAACAAATACTACATGATCTCACTTATATAAGAAATCTAAAGAAGTCAAACTCATAGAAGTAGAGAGTAAAATGGTGGTTACCAGAAACTGGAGGAATGGTACAGGAAAAGTAATGGGAGATGTTGATTAATAGATACTATGGCATAGTAAGGTAACTGGTTAACAGTAATTATCTGTATGTATCAAAATCACTAAAAGAAGATTTTGAATGTTCCCAGTTGCTATAGTTTGTGTCCCCCAAATGTCCATGTGTTGAAATTTGATTGAAACAGCATTGTATATGAAACTTGAGTCAATTATAGCATTCAAAGATGAAATTTTCTGAAGATTAGTGATTAGGTGATCACAGTGAGGCTCCTATGGTTGGCTTCTAGTGCATTTACAAGAGGAAATGAGAGAGAGGCACACGTAGAAGACTGCTCACACTCTCTTGCCCTCTGTCATGTTGTTATGCATCAGAAATACCACCACTAAAGGCCCATGCCCTTGGACTTTCCAAGTACCAGAATCCTAAGCCACATAAATCTCAATTTTTTTTATACATCACTATGCTCAGGGATTTCTGTTTAGAAAAAAAACTAAAATAATAACACAAAGTAATGATAAACATTTAAGATGAATATGCTGTCTTGATTTGATTTTGTATTTTTTATGCCAAATAATCACATAGCACCCGTTAAATATGCAAAATTAGTATGTGTCACTTAAAATATTAACAATAACAAAATAAGGTGTGTCACTTGATAACTATATATTTGGATCATAGATTTTTTAAAAAATCAATTCCATCCATTTCTACATTTTTCTTTTTTTCCATAGGGTGCATGCACTCACAGGAAAGAGACAGAGACAGAGAGAAATAAAATGATAGTCACTCTCCCAGGGGTGATGACCATAACCGCAATCCCTTCTCCTCTATTTGTTTCCTGAGATTTTAGACATGTGCACATGCACAAGCTCGATGTGATTTTCAGGCCACTGGGTTTGGGACTTCAACTATGGTTGGCCATGTAGGAGTCCAGTGCCTTAACCACCATGCCACCTGCTGGCACATCTTTTAGAAATACATTTTCTCAGCATTGTTTATTAGGGAATATATTCATTTCTCTTTCATTTTTTTGAAGGATAATTTTGTTAGATGTAAAATTTTGGTGCTAACTTTGGACGCACATATGTTTGCATTGAAGCAATACAGAGAAGGTTTCTCTGGCTCCTGTGTAAGAATAATATGTAAATCTTTGAAGCTTTCCATATTTTTTATTAACAGAAAAAAAGATAAAAACCATAAGACCATATCAACTGAGGCAGAAAGAGAATTTTTTTAGTACAACATCCAGACTCTTAACAAAATATTGGCTTGTCAGAAAAATCATGATGTATTTTTTTCTATGAAAAAATGTGTCATGATTTTTCCGACAACCCAATAGGTGTATTGTCCCTTTTTTCTTTATCTTACACCATACTTGGAGTAGTTAAAGGCACATTCCTTAACAAAATAAAACCCATGTATATCAAACCGATAGCTCACAGCATACTGAATAGAGAAAAGCTGAAAGCTTTCCCCCTGAAAACTGGGACGAGACAAGGTTGTCTAAATTCTGCACTCCTTTTCAATATAGTATTGGAAATCTTAGCCAGTGAAATCAAGCACAAGTGAAATAGAAGTCATTCAAATAGGAAAGGAAGAAGTTAAATTCTCCCAGTTTGCAAATGACATTTTATATATATATAGGAAATACTAAAAAAATCACAAAAAAGTGATAAATGAATTCAGAAAACTTACAAGATACAGAATCAACATAAAAAATTGATAGCTATTTTTACATACCAACAATGAACAGATTGAGACAGAACTGAAAAAAAAAAATCCCATTTACAATAGCCACACACACAAAAAATAATAATCCCTAGGAATAAACCTAACCAAAGAGATGAGAGACCTGTACAAGGAAAACAATGAATAAATCTAACAGAGACACATGAGATTTCTATAATGAAAACTACAAACAGCTGAAGACAGAAATAGAAATAATACCAAAAAATGGAAAGATACCCCTTGTTACTGGATAAAAGAATCAATTAAGATAAAATGTTGATACTACCCAAATTAATTTACAAATTTAGTGCAAACAGCATCAAGAGTCTAGAATTTTTGATTGATTTTTTCCGGAAGTTTGAGCATGTCATTGTGCATTTCAAATTTTCTATAGCACTCATTTGTGTAATTTGTATTTCTTTATTGCTGTTCTCTATGTGAAGATAAATTGTTCTTATACTTTCTTTCAGTTCTTTAAACATGGTTTCTTTTGGTTCCCTGAACACATTTGAAATGGCTAATTTCTGTTTTTGTCTAGTAAGTCTACATCTGGACTTCCTCAAGGAAAGTTGCTATTGACTGCTTAATTTCCTACATATTGTCATGCATTCTTGTTTCTTTGCATGTCAAATGATTTTTGCTGAAAAGTGGATGATATAAAGCTTCAACAGTGAAATTCAGGTTCTCTACTTCTTTAGCTTTTATCATTGTCACTGTTGGATTTGTTATTTATCTTTTTAAATGACCTTGCTGAATTTTAATTCTGTATTTCTGTGTTCTCTGATTCGTATGGCCATTGGAATCTAGATTCATAGTGATCAGCTGATGACTAGACAGCCATGTGCTGTCTAGCCAAGGGTCAAGAAACTGTAAATCTTCCAGTCTTCCAGTCTTTGTTGAGGGTCTCTGTGTGCATGTTAAAATGCACCTTCATTACTCAGTCATAGAGTGTGGACATTCAGAATATATTAAGTGGGGACATACAATGTCTCTCCTTCATAACCTGGCTTGCTTCACTCAGCAGTAAATCTTTCATATCTTCAACTTTCTGTCAAATGTCAGGGTTTTGTTGTATTTTTATGGCTGAATAGTATTCAATAGAGTATATGTGTCACAGTTTTTCAATCCATTCATCTGTACGGGGGCATTTGGGTTGGTTCCGTGTCTTAGCAATCATGAATAGTGCCGCAATAAACATCGATGTGCAAGCACTTTTCCAAGAAGAACTCTTCTGTCCTTTGGGTGGATACCAAGGAGTGGGATTGCTGGGTCATATGATAGTTCTATTTGTAGATTTTTGAGGAATCTCCAAATTGTTCTCCACAGTGGCTGGACCAATTTACATTCCCACCAAAAAATATACTACAAAGCTGTGGTAATCAAAACAGCATGGTACTGGCACAGAAACAGACAGGAGGACCAATGGAACAGAATCGAGTCCCCAGAAATATATTCCAAAATATAAAGTCAACTGATTTTTGACAAGGGATCCCAGTCAATCCAGTGGGACAAGGAAAACCTCTTCAGCAAATGGTGCTGGGAAAATTGGACTTCCACCTGTAGAAAGATGATTCTGAATCCCTACCTCTCACCATTGACAAAAATCAAGTCAAGATGGATCAAGGATCTAAATCTAAAACCTCAAACTATAAAACTGCTCCTGAAAAACACTGGGGAAACTCTGGGAGACATTGGTGTAGG